GGCAGGGTTGGCTTCTCCCTTCCCGAAGTGAGTCTCCTGGCGCGGGAGGAGCGCCGGGCAGGCGGCCGCAGCCATGCCGGGGGGTAAGGAGACGCGGCTGCTGCACCTCGGCGAGATGGAGAAGCTGGACAAGACCCTCTTCAGGCTGGAGCAAGGTAGGTCGGGGTCGGGGGCTGCGGCCTCCTCAACCTTCTCCTCCTCCTCCTCCTCACCAGGGCCGAGTGAGAGGGAGACGGCTGTGAGCTCGCTACCTTCTTCGGGCAGCAATATAAAAGGAGCTCAGCCTGCGGTGTTTTTTTTTTTTTTTTTTTTTTTTTCTCCCCACTTTTTTCCTTGTTTTAATATGAAACAATTTCCGACATGCTTGCTTCCACTGCAGAATTCTGTGGGCTCCAGTTGCGGTTCGGTCTGACTCATAAAACTCTTGAGAATTGAAGAGCAGTTTGGCTAGGAGCCATGGCAGTGAAGTGCAAAGCATTATTTATTTTTTTTTAAACAGGTCCTGCAGGACAGGACCTCTCCTTTTATAACCTGTACTTCAGTGACCTGAAAAAGTCCTCCTCATAAGTCGAGCTCTCTAGTATTTATCTGCAATGTGTTGTGCAATGCCCCATCTGTAACATTATAATTTTGAAATATATCAGTAATACTAACGTTTTGCAAAGTCTGAGGTGATGTTTCAGGATATGGGATCTTTAGCTCCTCCTGAATCTTATCTTGCCTGTCAGATTTCCCGTAGCTGTGCTATGTTAGTATTCTGGTCACATACTTCTAAGAACTTAGTAGTATTTCTCTCTGGAAGTGTTCCGAAGTCTATTTGCAAAAAAAAAAAAAAAAAACCACCGCAAAGCAAACACAAAAACCCCACCAACCAACCCAGCAAAAAACCCAAACCCACAAAAACCCCCAAAACAGCCAAACAAAAAAACTCCCCACCAATTGGTCTGCTATTATGCTGGTCAGCAAATTCAAACTAAAACTAAAGCTGCTGTCTTTAGAAACCATTTTTAATGATGCAACAATTTTTATTACTCATGAACTTTTGTGGGGTTTATTACTTTATGTTACTGATCTAGGAACCTTATATCAAAGCGATTTAGTAGAGGAGCAAGACTTTGGTTCTTGAGAATAAGAATTCTCTTCAATTATATTGATTTCAAAATTTTCTGACAGTGTAATCTAAGAAACTGTCAGTAGGGAAGAAGTGCAGAGTTGACCCTAACCTCCATTATTAACTCATCCTTCCAGTTGTTTAAGTTTTGTTGGAAGGAATCACATAGAAGCATATGGCTAACAAACATTGAAAGTGCCTCTGCTGGTAGCAGTCTCTGAGAGGGCATAGCTAATTTTGAGCACAGCATTCCTGATGTCGGTATAACTGTTACAGGAAATAAGATATCAATGGCATATATCCCTGTGCTCTAATTTTAGTAATCCCTATAATAAAATGTCAGGACAGTACTGGGGAGAGTGTACTTAATCTTCCAGAAGTTTGGTGGTTTTTTGTTTTTTGGTTTGGTTTTTTTTTTGATCAAATGAGCTTCATTTTATCTGACAAATATTCAGATCCTAAAATCATTGCTTTACGTTGTGATTTTGGTGCAGTGGCGACTATGTTAATAAGAGAAATTGCAAGCTTGGTGCCACTTGCATTTAAATGTATTTGGACATTGAATTCTGATAGTAGAGTTCCCATGACTCTACTTAATAAGCAAATGGATTTTTTTTTCAATGTAAGATACTGGAACTTGCCATTGTTCAGGGCTTTCTTTTTTTTTTACACTTTATAATTCCTTATCTGTGTGTTAATAATTTCTCTTTACAAATACTCAGGTTTCTTTTACTCTCCGTTTTGCAGTAGGTGTGTTACTATAGTAAACTACAAGACTGGCCTGTAATTTAGTAAAAGTAATTGTGCAAGCACTTAACCTATTTCAGTCACTTAAAAGGATGCTGTAATTAGCCATGTATATGGTAGCGGCCCTCATACCTGCAAGTGGAAACCTATTCTGAAACTTGCTGACTGAACTGAATTTTTCATATCCGACTGAATAGACTACAGTATGGTTTTAGGTCCCAATATTTAAACTTAATTTTGTTTTGTTCTCGTTATCATGGATCTTTTAAGCCTAAATAGTGTTCTTTCTGTGTGTATGTGACCTGCAGCATGTATACAAAACTCCCTTTGATTTGTTGAGCTCTCTGGAAGTTTAACAATTTGTTTGTACGTTGTAGATTATGCACAAGTATATGTCATTTTACAGTTAAAAGCATAAGAAATTTAGTGTTGTATAGTGAACCCTCGATGGAGAATGAAGGGATTTGAAATACTTTCTGTTTCAAAAATGTGTTCCTAATTTTTTTTTTTCCAGATGTTTTCATGGGTCAGCTTAATATACAGACTTGGTAAACCTAAATGCTTAAATACTACATAAACCAAAATCTGCATAGCATATGATGTTTTGCTGTATTTTGTTTTTAAGATTTTTTGTATAGCAAAGAGGAACAAATTGGAAATGAGATAAATAGTGCCATATAAGAAAAGTAAAAATAATAGGAATATATGTAAAGTGTGCAAAGAATAACATTGGGAAAGTAGGGAGAGATGATGATGTAGAAATAATGCCATTCTGCTGAAATTCTTGGCAGGTATATTGGTGCACTTTCTTCTTCACATAATATCAAATTGTGATTTGCAGTTACAGAACAGAAATATCTAGTTCTCCTGATAAAGTGATTTTTATCTTATTTTCCTGAGGTTTTGAACTACAGTTCCGATTGGGCCCGACTCTTCAAGGCAAGCCCGTTACTGTGTACACAAATTATCCAGCTTCTGGAGAAGCATTTGAGCGCCACAAGTTCAGGACGCTATCGTGGCACAATCCCACAGGAAAAGAAGATGACTCTGACAAATACTGCAAGCTGGATCTCCAAATTTCAGGGTCATACCAGTACTATTTCAGTCTTGGGTAAGTGAAATTCTATACTTAGAACCAAATGCAGTCTTACTCCTTTGGTCTACATTTTAACCTGAAGAAATCACTGTTAAGAATAAAAACATTTTTTCCCATGCATTTTTCAAATTGCAACTATGGGGCTATCTGAGTCTGCTAATGAAAGACAATAGCTGTGGTGGTTGTGTGTGTTGAAGGGATAGAGTGTACCATCAGCAAGTTTGCTGATGACACAAAACTGGGAGAGGTGGCTGACACACTGGAAGGCTGTGCTGCCATTCAGCGTGACCTGCACAGCCTGGAGAACTGGGCGGAGAGAAACCTTACAAAGTTCAAAAAGGGCAAGTGTAGGGTACTGCGTCTGGGGAGGAATAAACCCATGCATTGGTGCAGTTTAGGGGCTGACCTGCTGAAAAGCAGCTCTGTGGAAAGGGACCGGGAAGTCCTGGTGGACAACAGGATGGCCGTGAGCCAGCAATGTGCCCTTGTGGCCAAGAAAGCCAATGACATCCTGGGGTGCATCAAGAAGAGTGTGGCCAGCAGGTCGAGCGAAGTTATCCTCCCCCCTACTCTGCCCTGGTGAGGCCTCGTCTGGAGTACTGTGTCCAGTTCTGGGCTCCCTGGTTCAAGAAGGGCAGGCAACTGCTGCAGAGGGTCCAGCAAAGGGCTACGAAGATGATGAGGGGACCGGAGCATCTTATATGAGGAAAGGCTGAGGGACTTGGGTCTTTTTAGTCTGAAGAAGACAAGACTGAGGGGGGATCTTATCAACCCTCATAAATACTTAAAGGGAGGGTGCCAGGTGGATGGGATCAGTCTTTTTTCAGTGGTGCGCAGCGATAGGGCAAGAAGTCGCGGGCACAAGCTTGAACATAGGAAGTTCCATCTTAACATGAAGAGGAACTTCTTTACTTTGAGGGTGGCAGAGCACTGGAACAGGCTGCCTAGAAAGGTTGTGGAGACTCCTCCACTGGAGACATTCAGAACCCTCCTGGACGCCATCCTGTGGAACCTGCTCTGGCAGGGGGGTTGGCCTAGATGATCTCCAGAGGTCTCTTCCAACCCTGACCACTCTATGATTCTGTTTAATACTTTCTGACACAAAGATGCTCTGCAGGCAATACAGAACAAAGTTGATCAATTTTCTGTGAATGCTGGAAAAGTAAGCCATTTTTACAAGTTTTCAAAGTCATCAGCGTTCTAAGTATCTGAATGATTAATTTGTACTTTCTGCATTGACTTTAAAGGTTGCTTTTTTTTTTTCTTTCCAGCACTGATGTTCTGGCGTTCTTTACTGCACATTCTTTACTTCCTCCTTTGTTTCTAAAGGACAAGTGCTGTGGAGAACGCCAGTATCTGTAATGACTGTAGTCTGGTATTCTGAGTTTCTGGATGATAGGTGGTTAAATTCCCTCGGGCTTAAAAGGGCATTTAGCTTGGGTCTCTTGCTGAAGATGGTGCTCCAAATGGAGGTCTTTGTATAAAAGATGGGCAGTCATGCTTTTTTTGTTTCTGTCAGTATCCTAAAAGGAGGAACTAGTACTCTGTCTCAGAAAATAACAAAGGTATCTCACTTTTGAAGAGAGTTTAAAGTTCTGTACCCCAATTGTATTGGTCTAAGCAACTGGCATAAGTCCAGTAGAGAGATGATACTGAAGAGATGTACATACCTTCAGTGTTTCCTGTTTTCTTCAGGTGCCCTGCAGTCCTGTTCCCCATCTCCCTGCAACCACCGTACTGGGCTACTGTGTTTTTGAAATAGTTGTGCTTGTTGTATTCTCTTTCTGAAACTGACTGGTACAATGATTGTTTACTATACCAATCAAAATAAATTTTTCCTAGAAATGAAAAAAGTGGTGGAGGTTACATAGTTGTGGATCCTATTTTGCATGTCGGAGCCGATAATCATGTGCTACCTTTGGATTGTGTTACGCTCCAGACGTTCCTCGCAAAGTGTCTGGGACCGTTTCATGAATGGGAAGATAGGCTTAAAGTTGCAAAAGAAACAGGTAATGCCAATACACATATTAAAAGATGTATGTTTTTGTCTTTTGATTAAAAACCAAAGCAACACCAAAGAGCTTCAGTGTAAACAGCTCATTTGTTCTTTATTTTGTAGACTAAATATTTTCCACTAGATTCAATTTAGTTAACAGATTAAGTCAGTGAAATTATTAAAATATTGGCAGAGGTGCAAAAATTCAGGGACTTCCCGATATGGGAAATCACTTTTGTTTTATTGTTTTGATTTCAGATAGACTTGGAAGTTTGTAGGACTGACAGGATGATTTTTAAAGCTTGTGTTATGTCAAATTTCAAGGGTTCAGATTAATATACACTGGTTATTCCAAACACTAGCTTTAAGAACATGTTATGACCGTAACTTATTATGCTTCTTTCAATTAACTATGACTGAATTTTTTTTCTTATTTAATAAATGGCTTCTTATTACATAGGTTACAACATGATTCATTTTACACCACTGCAGAAGCTTGGACTGTCTAGATCATGTTATTCACTGGCTGATCAGTTAGAAGTAAATCCTGAATTTTCAAGCCATAATAAAAAGTGCACGTGGAGCGATATAGGAGCTCTTGTGGAAAAACTGAAAACCGAATGGAATATGCTTTGCATCACAGATGTAGTCTACAATCATACTGGTATGACTTTTATGTGTGTTAATAACCGAATTGATACTGTAATTACATTTCATTATTTCCCTTAACTTTTCCTCCTTGAACTCATCTTCTAGTAGCTGTTTTAAGCAACTTAGTTGTCTCTGTCTTTGAATCTCTCAAATCCAAGACTACTCTTTACAATTATAACTGATATGCCTCCATAACAGATATAAAAGAATTTAGTATTGTTACTGAAAGAGTGAATAGAGGCCTTATTAGAGAGAATTAATGAACTGTGCATGTGTCTATTTTTATAAAAAAAAAAAAGCATATTATCATCTGCGATAATGAATGGAATCTGCATTAGGAACTATTTGGTGAACATAAACCAAGTACTTTCTTGTTAAACAGGGTATTATTCTTATAACTGCTTAAAAGTAACTACTCTAATTTGGATCTAACATGCAGACAACAAACAGAATAGGGACAAGAGGCTAGGATTAAGCAATGGAGGAAATGTTACAGCTCAGTCTGTGGGGAAAGGGGGGGAAAGAAAAGATAGCTTTGTGTTTGGGGTGGGTTCTTTTTAAGCATAGATACGCCAGTGCATTGAAAGCTTTACTGAATTGCTTTTTGTAGCTAAAATTGTCTGTTGTGCATGGCGGGACAATGGGTTTTCTTCACTAGGATCTGATGAAGTTTAAATTATAGTACTTAATCATTTGTAATTTTGCTGATTATTTGGATAATGAGTTTATTTTTTATTATGTTTATAATGCAGTTTTCATCTTACACTGTAATCCTAAAGATCACAATAATTAGCGTTCTCGCAGCAGATAGTACAACAGATGATTATGTATGTTGATGTTACACTCCTTTGAGGCTTAAAAAACCACTAACCACAGATATCTGTGAATTTCAAGCTTTATTTGCTTTAGTTCTTTGGTGTTGATTGCTGCCAAACATTCCTATCCAGTCAGTCTGCAATGCAGTGTGAGGCCTGTTGTTTGCCCTATCTGTTTGTTGAAAAGTTACTAAGTATAGTTATTGGCTATGTGTCTGAGGGAATGAGGCTTTTAAACCTTCTCCCAATTTGGGATAAAAAATTTCTTGCACTGTATCATCTAGAAGTCCAGTTTCTCCCACGCATGCTTGAGATCATGTCATCTTTTTACTGTGTATATTTGCATGCTACAAAGGAGAATGTTTTTATGGACAGAAATCTAAACTATTTATTGGAGTCCAAAATATTTATTAGACTCCAAAAAGTGTTATGTTATTACTTGGCTACGTTTGTAGAAGGACTTTTACAGGTTACATTCAGAATTCAAAGTAATCTTCATTGGGATGGATGACTAAAAGTTTATACTATGGTGAAAGGATGTTTATAAGTCTCTTCTGGCAGGATAGAAATATTCAAATGACCATGGTCCTGACTTACATCATTAAGCAAGATATACTTGATGGCTTTGTTTCCTGCTTTCAAAATTTTAAAATCAAAATCCCCCACCCCCCGTTTATCAAAACCTCTTGATTTACAACTGACTCCAAACTTTGTTAAATGTCAAATTTAGCATAAGCAAAAAAATACATTGATAAATGTCTGATTAAGTACTAATGTTGTATATGCCTGTGGAGGTAAAACATTTTGGGGCTTTTGAAATAAGAAAATAGGCAAATAGTTTTGGGGTTTCTTTTTGTCTAGATCTTGATTAGATGGAAATTTAACTTTACCTTTTTTGATTTTTAAATGAACGGTAATTGCTAGTAGTTAAATAAGTTCATTCCTGCACACTATGGTGATATAATTGTAAAATATGTTTCATAGAACCATTTAAATATAAAAGACGCAAAATGTGTAGTCGGTTATTTTGAGCAGATTATGGATACTTGCACATTATTATTAATTCTGCAGCATGTCTACATTAAAGGCTTAAGTTGTCTCACAGTAAATCCTCTAATGCTGGTAATTCTAACAGCTCATGACCCTTCAGCTTACAGTGGTTCTACGCTTTCTAGCTGAGGCTGCTTTATAAAAATGGCAATGGTTCCCCTCTGTTCCTGTTGTGAAGTCAGACAGCTCACTTTCAATATTAAGCGGTTAAGCAAAGGTGTTTGGGTTTTATACAGGAATGGAGAACAGACTGCTTGCACAGTAGAGAGTGGTGGGAATCAGTTTTTGATGTTAATATCTCTGTCAGTCTCTAATGAAAGCCAGCATCTATAGCCTAACTGTAAAGTAGATGCATATACTAATGTTAAATATAGATGCACATTTGGCATGTTAGCAGGAGTATCATAGACAAACTTGCATACCCTGTCTGGTAACTGGGTAGATGTGCCCTTTTTGGGCTGCCATTTCCTTCAGTGTTCAAACACCATCCAATAAGAAATATTGTTTGCTAGCATTTCCTCTTTACTAGGAGATAGAAAAAGGGGAGTTGTTTTTTTTTTTTCTTTTCTGAGCTTTCAGTGGCTGTAATAAATCATAAAGTAATAAACTAATCTGAAATAAATTATATTTTCTTTATCTGTCAGAAGAGCCTACTATTGTCTAATTGCAATTTAACACTTGAGTAAATCCTACTTCCAAGCACTTGACTAATCACATCAAACACCACCTTTTCGCAGCTTTATAAAGGGCAGGTAGAAAAAAAGTCTTGGGCAGCGGGCATCAATACTAAATAAGTTTGTGTTTAGTTTATATAGCAATGAACTAGTCTTTTGAAAAAGTGAAATTATTTTCTTAAGTAAGAATTGACTTTTAGATTTTTTTTCTGTAATTGTTCATCTTAATATTTCCATATTTTTATACTTATTTTCTCCCTAGCTGGCACACACGTAATCACAAGTGATGTTTTGGGCAAATTTTTTTCTGCAGAGTTAGATTTCTGTTGGTGTTATGTTGTGAATCATTGGAGCTTACCCTCTTATCAGAAAACATCATTCTGTTCTATACCAGAATTAGTGGAAGGCCTGTTGACTTTTTTCTTTGGGCATGATAAGACCTTAGATTTAAATGAAATATTGTCTTTTTAGAATTAATTGTATTTACTCATTAAAGTCCATTATAGTAAATCATGTTTCTTGCTAGAAGAATACAGTAAGCTTGTTTTGCTTTTTGGAGAAAAATATTTTTTTCAGAAGTAGTATATGTATTTTATTTTTTTTAAAGGAAAAAAAAAGAGGGAGGGGGGATCTGGTTGGCCTAGAACAGCCTTTAGCAGTCTGAGTTTATTACTGCTTTATGTAACTTTAAAATAAGTACGGTGTTTTTAGTTTAGTTTAGGTGGCATTTAAACCATTAAGAACTTACTTCCACAAATGGTATGACCTTATAATCATGGAATTTTGCCATGTTCGTAATAGTCTTAAGATGTAATGTAAGAGGGTGCTCAGAAGAGCTGTTAATACTATTGACTGAGAGAGTACACTCTTTTCTTTCCCTTTGACATTTTTGTTTGAACGTCTTTGAGCTAAGCAAACTTGAGTTTTGTGTATTAATTGTTATGGTGTAATTCAGGATACATTAATGGCTCTTTATTCATGTTTCCAATATAATAATTTGTTATATATTTTTCTTAGTGTGAAGTATTACTTCTATATTTTTTTGCTTTTCTAAAACAATAGATTAATAAGACATTTTCTGTGAAAAATGGTTTTAAAAAAAAAAAACCCAAACCTTATAAAACCTGAGTATTTTTTTTGTTGTTGTTCCTATGCACTCCATGCTTTTTTTACATTTAGTTTTTCAATTGCACAGATTCATTCAAAAGAACATATGGAAATTATTTTCAGTTAAACTGTGTTTAGGACAGTTCCAAAAATGGAAAGAAATAAACTCTTCAGGATTTCTTCCTCGTTGTCATACTTCCAAAATCAAAATTCTCTCTGCTATTTATGTGTTTACTCATACTGCTGCATGAACGCTACTGTCTATATTAGAATATCGCACCCATTTTCTAGTGAAGGCTCCTTACCTTCTCTGAATTAATTGTTAATGTTCAGCATATCTTCTGGTGCTTGTTGATGCTATGGGCGAAGTTCAGAAAATAGACACAGTGGAGTGCGGTGTTTGATCTGAACTAGTGCTCCATTTGCATGCACTAGACAGTGCACTCATCTTCCTGTGTAAGACTCGGTGGCATCGTTTCGCACCGCTCTGCTTCTTATGATGCACACAACAGTGTCGCAGCTAGTCCTTTCTTTAAAAGCCCACTAAACTTCATTGTTCTTTAATTATTTCTTGGGCGGGGTGCGTGCCCTCTTGCTCCCTGGCTCTGTGTGGGTATCACCTGATATAGTTAAGAATATTAAAAAATAAACAACTTGGGCCATCTTAAATCTTGGTTTGGCATGTAGATTTGGCTTTCAACACACAAAGAGCACTTCATTTGAGGTATTTCCTGCAACAAAAATGTGATTATTTCTTTTTTTGTGTGTTTTAGAATTGGTGGTACTACTGCATATTTTTATGTAACTAAAAGTGTTACAACTAAGTGTTCAGCTTGTGTATGTAATCTTTTTTTTTTTTTTTTTTCTCCCACACACCCCCTCCTTTTCTTGAATAAGCAACTAACAGTGAATGGCTCAGGATGCATCCAGAATGTGGCTATAACCTTGTAAATTCTCCTCACCTGAAGCCAGCTTGGGTCTTGGATAGAGCTCTGTGGCACTTGACCTGTATGGTGGCTGATGGAAAGTGTACTGCTAAAGGGGTCCCTCCCTTGATTGAAAATGATCAACACCTGAATGTAAGTGAATAAGAGCTAAATATAATATAAGCTAATGAGCACTATAAATAGCTGAATAAACTTTAATATTTCTAAGGTTGTGGAAATGCACAAAATTTAATGAAATAACACTTTACCTCCCCAAATATTTTTTCTGAACAATCCATATGAGCACTTACCTTTTCTTAATTAAAGCAATCATCAACTTTATTAACTAACATAATTCTTATTTTTACAGTGTCTCCGTAAAATAATTTGGGAAGATATATATCCAAAAATTAAACTATGGGAATTTTTCCAAGTGGATGTTAACAAAGCTGTGCAGCAATTTAAAACCCTTCTAACTCAAGGTAAAGGAAGGGTATGTTGCTGAAGCATATGGATTTATAGTTCAAGCAACTTATGGGTAAACTTAAGATAGAAACCAAAATAATTTTTTGCTATGTGAGAAAACTACTGTGCTGATCTAAGCATTCAAGAAAGCTTTGAGGGCTACTAAAGCCTTTGAAGACTTTGCACCCCTTCAAAGTCTTTATCTACCCATATCTTGCTTATTTTAGAATTATAAAAGTTGTGTATCTTTTAAATGTAATGCCTATTTTTACTTTTATCAGTACTCTTTTCTATATTGTTCTTAGGCAAAATGAGCACTAAATCTGATCCAACTCAACATCTTCAAATAGTTCAGGACCCTGATTATAGGCGATTTGGCTGTACTGTAGATATGAATATAGCATTGGCAACATTCATACCACACAGGTATTGTATAATTGATTAGAAGTTAAAATCGCAAGTGAAGTTAAATTTGCAAAACTAAATTAACTTTTTTCCAGAGATGGGGAAATTTTAATTTTTCATTCCTTCTAGTTATGTATACTGCATGTTTTAAAAATAAATTATTCTAATTGTTGTCTGCTTTTAATGTCCTTCTGATAAGCAATGGACCAGCTGCAATAGAAGAATGTTGCAACTGGTTTCGCAAGAGGATTGAGGAACTGAATGCTGAGCAATACAGACACACTAATCACCATCAAGAGCAGGTCTTAAAATTACTGTGGTTTAATGCTGAATTGTTTTAAATTGCAAATAAATGCAAGCATTTCAATAACACATAATTTAATTACTTCTAGGCTGTCAATTGTCTTATGGGGACTGTGGTTTATGAACGACTGGCTGGTAATGGTCCTAAGCTGGGTCCTATCTGTAGAAAATATCCTTTAGTTACCAGGTATTTTTTCTTTGCTTGTTTGGAAACTATCTATGTAGGGGAAGTGAGTTCAAAGTTCATAAAAAGTATATGTTTATATGTACAAGTGTATGTTTTCTTTCCCATGGACAAATACCACTTCATGAATGGGCTGTCTTTATTTAGGCAACAATGGTAACTGTTAATAAACAAATGTGACCAGAGACCATGAAACAATACTCAGAGCACATCGAAGACTTACATAGTGCATAACATAGTGCAAGACTTACATAGTTCTTTTTGGTGGAAGAGAGGTGGAACTAGGAAAGCTTACAACTTTTAAATTTGATGAACCTGATGCCACTAATGTATCTGAAGGGCTAGGGCTTTAATCTTGCACTACCAGCTGACACCAAGATACTGGCAGCACCTGTCCTTTCTCTTTCAAGGCATGCTGCAAAATAGAAAGCTCCCCATCATTTATAGTCTAGCAGCTGCTTTTTTTAATCTGTTTTATCTACAACCCAGTTCATAGTAGATACTTTAATTTCAAAGGCAATGGATTTCATCTTAGGTTACCTTGTGGGCTTGGATTTTTGTTTGTGGTTTGTTGTTTTTTTTTTTTTTAATTGCCTGTCTATTCCATAGGTATTTTACTTATCCATTCAAAGAGCTAACCGTGGAGGAAGAAGAAACTATGATACATCAGCCAGATAAAGCTTGTTATTTCATGGCTCATAATGGCTGGGTTATGGGAGATGATCCTCTTAGAAACTTTGCAGAACCAGGTTTGTAAAAGAACTTTGAATCACATTATGAACCTTTTGATATTCTAGCCAAAGCAAAAAGGGTTTTATTTAATCTGTCTCTTTTTCTGGATATATTCCTATGAAGCTGCAGAATAGTAGACAAATACTCAGTTTATAGCACTTTCATTTCCTATTGAGCATACAGATCAACTCTAAGAACTGGGATTTGAGGTACAGTTTTGCAAAATTTGAGAGGGAAATCACCAGGTTTCTGCCACTGAAATGGGGACATCCTGTCTTCCCGCTACTGTCATCATCTTTGCTTTGTACTTTCTTCCAACACCACTTCTTGTTGTGATTTCCCTAAGACAATGACAGTGCAGCAGAAAAATAATGCAGTAAAAAGGTGGATAATATTTTACTGCATTAGTGAGCAAAAACTGGATTCTTGAAAAGTCCAGTGAGTTGCAGTCAGGCAGTCAAGAGGTGACCCAGTTAATCCAAAATAGCTGTGTGGATTGCTTGTGAGGGTAAGATAGGGTATGAATTCACCCTGTGCTAAAGTATTGTACTCTAACTCCTCTGGGGACAGCATTGATATCCAGTTAAAGCAAGGCTAACAACTCTTGTTTTCAGAGTAGTCATGCACTTTGTAAATGGAATCAAAGGCCAGTTTAATTCTAATTAAAAACATCTATCTAAGAGTTTGTTCAGTCTGCTTTAGAAGCTAATCTGATTGATAGTCCAGAGTGATCTGGAGTTAGCAAACACCTTGTTTCTGCAAAATTATCTATAGCCCTTTCATTGCTTTTTATTCACTTTTTTTTTTTCCTCCTTCGCAAGCATGAAGATAATATGTGTTTCAAGGGTGGTTTTGTTCAGTAGCCTTTAAGATAATTGCCCTTTTTTCTGGGCAGACTTGTATTTTTTCCTTCAGTCACTGGCTTTAGTTAGCATACCTAACTTCTATTGCTGAGTTTTCTCTCTTAATTAGTCTGCAGCTTTTTGAGTGCTTTATACTTGTGTTTTACCTTTGTATATATTATTTCAGTTGAGAATAGAGTGTGAAAAGATGATACAGAAGAGCACAAATACAGGGATCACAAAACAAATGCAGCTAGTTCTGTAAATGGCCCTTAAAAATCATGGTGTACATCCAAAGAAAGCCAGTTTTTCTGTCCACGTAGCTACATTGCCATTACTGAAGCTAAAAGTTAGGCTGTGCTTAAGTGAATGTTTTTAGATGTAGTGATGCCTTACAGTCTCTGCTCTTTACTTACTAGCTGCTTACTCATTGTGCGTCTTTCATTGTGTAGGCCAAATCACTTAAGTGTCTATAATGTGAGCCTCTAGTCAGGCTGAAAAACAATCTCTTTGCCAATCCAGGATTATGTTTCAGCTGAACAAATTTCCTGATCTAATTCAAGGTTCAACCACCAAAATAACTGTGGTGATGCATCAGTATAGCTGGTCTAGGAGTAGCAGGAAGCAATGGAGTAGCTCTGTCTTAGCTATCCTGAGAATCCTGAGTGGTGCTGATCTTGTTCATGCTTTGATCAGGTTTAGATACGATGAATATAACCTGACCTTCAGAAGACTCATGACTCGAAGATAATTGTATTTCTCTTATTTGGGATCTGATTATTGACAATTCCATGATTGTGGCTGGATATTACGTTTTGCAAATAGTGTGGAGTTTTGGTGGTTTTGTTTGTTTTTTTAAATGATATTGCTGCCTTTGTCAAATATGTGATTTATATAGGACAGAAGTCACATTTTTGGGTATCGATGATTATTTAAGTATTCGTCACAGTTAAACCTCCATCAGTATATCCTGTGTGGTAAGTATATTATAGCTGAACTGAAATTTAAAGTGGTATTTTTATTGATTGCATCAAAAAGAAGGCAAAAAATATTATATGAAACTAGATTAGGTGGAGGATGAGGATAAATATTTTCACACACACAAAAATTATTTAGGGACTTTGTCCATTTAAGTGACCTGCGTAAGTACTTAGGAAATTTGCCTTATCACAGTCTGCTGTTAACAAAAGGTAAAACTTTAAATTGTGGCAGCAGCAGTTTATTTATAGTAACACAGTGAGGTGCTTTTTTGAATTTGGCCAGTGTAAACAACCAAACTACTGTTTTTGTTCGCTTGTTTGCTGTTTTTTTTCTTCTTTTTTCTCAAGTACAGTTTGTATACTACTTTGAAGAATTAAAAGGAATTTGATTTCAATCTGAAGAATTATTTCATTATCACTATATCAGTTAAATATTCCCTTGGGGTATTCTGGTATTATATGTCAGTGAGGGTATATAGATTTTGGGTTGATACGGCTATTATTAGAATTTTTACTCTTCGTCACAGTGTTCTCCTATTCTTCAGTGGTAGAAAATTAAATACCACATTTTCATTTTGGTGCACATTCTATACTATAGATAGACACACTATAGTGAATTTATTTCCCTTACAGGTTCAAATGTTTACTTGAGAAGAGAGCTTATTTGTTGGGGCGACAGTGTAAAACTGCGTTATGGTAATAAACCTGAAGACTGCCCATACCTCTGGGCACATATGAAAAAATACACTGAAATCACTGCCAAATATTTCCACGGTGTTCGTCTTGACAACTGTCACTCAACACCTATTCATGTAGCTGAGGTACGCAAAATTAAGCATGTTTATTATAAAGCAGCTTCTGTCTGTGAAATAGTCCTGCACTGTTGCTACAAAATCTGCAAGATGTGCATGGCACAGTTCAGGTGTGAATGAATCCTTACAGTATAAGCAAAGTGTCGTGACTGGTGATGTTTAGATGGGATTTCAGCTACTTTAAACAGTTAGTAGAGTGGTGTAGCTATTGTATCTTTCAGTTTAGTTGAAATATTGCAGGTGTGGATGGAGCTGGCTAACTTTTCCCTTGTGTAGCTAGGGACTTAATGCAATGACTGCCAGTATCCGGTGTGTCAGTTTTAGCTGGGGTCATTGCCAAGAATTGGTTGAAAGTCTTAGTGTTTCTTTGGCATATGTATTTTCCTATTGCTGAATTAAACAAGAAGTGGTTTACTTCCCAGAATTTAAAAGTCGGTAAAGAACACCTGCTAAAAGTTTAGTCTGGCAAGCTTATTGCTACGATTAGAGCTTACTGTTTACCATGGAGCTAACTACATCCAGAAATTGTACTTGTCTAATAAATGAGCGCTAAATAGATTTGAGTAGTGCAGCTTGTTAGTGCTTAGTCTTAGCTTGGTTTCAGAGCTTACCTAAATCTATGAAGAGCTCTCTGAAACGAGTTGACTTGCCCATACAAAAGTTGTAAGTGGCTCTTAGATGCAGCCATTTCAAAACTTCTGCCGTTCCTTCATTTATTGTTACTACTTTTGGAATGGTAACTTCAAAGGCTTAAACTAAAGTCTTCCTTGGATTTCTTACCTTAACAGATACCTCTTTTATCCAACCTTTGTTCTTGCATTTTGAGTTAAGACTTTGTGTAAAAACAAAGTTGTAATTAGCTTAAAGTCTTTAGAGAATTTCCTAGAATTACTCGGTCTGTTAATAATATCTGTAAAATATAAATGGGGTTTTATGAATGTTACCTGTTACTAGTATTTTTTTAATGAACTGCATATATGACCAACTCATTTCTGTTTGGTTAAGTCATGTTAATGATTGCATATACAAAGCTGACAATGGATGTCTTGCATTAAAAATGTATTATGATCTATAGGAGATGCTAGCAACAGCCAGATCAGTCAGACCTAATCTTTATGTGATAGCTGAACTCTTCACGGGCAGTGAGTACATTGACAATGTTTTTGTCAACCGCCTGGGAATTACCAGCCTGATTAGAGGTACAATAAGCAGTTGAAAATTATGTAGGATTGTCATGTATGGTTTGGAGTTTTTAATGTGAAACTAACATTGGTATGCCTTTTTTTTATTTTTCTTACATATTCGTGTTCTTTGCTTATGCAATTACCTTTTCTTCTTCACATTCTATTTAACTTTTCTTGTGTTGTGTGTGCTAATTCTTGATTTTGCCTATGTTTGTGTGTCCTCTTCTGTGTAACAACTTTTTTTGTTCCTTAATTTTGGCTTTCTGTTTGTCTTTGCTGCATGGCATTTTCCTATTGTCTGATCCCTGCCTAGCTTTGAAACTTGTCCTTTTTTGTATCTACCTTTCCCCTTTCTGTGGCTTTTTTGGCTGTGCTTTTTGCAGTACATGCTGGACACAGCTAGAAAATTGCGAGCCGATTTGTATGTAGTGGCTGAACTGTTCACAGGAAATGAGGAGCTGGACAATATCTTTGTGAATAGGCTGGGCATTACCTCCTTAATAAGAGGTAGGCTTGCTGTGTGTGTGGTCTCTTTCCAACGAGAGATTATAGATGACGTGCTTTTTCCAAGGAGAAGGTTTCTTGTGGATCATGCACTTCTGATTACATAGAGTATGAAATTAAAAGTACAGTTTTTGTATTGTGACTTTTTTTGATACTCAGCAAAAAATACAGTACTAGCTGTAAAATAAGAGAAGACATCCTGCATTAGTTTACAGAAGTCTAAATATTTCACTCTTATTCTAGCAAGAGAAAAAGAAGTGGTAGCACAGTTCTGCTATGCAAGTGCTGCATCATGTCTGATTTTTTTTGTTGCTTGAGTTTCTTAGCCTATGAGAAAGTTTCAGGTCTCTGCTTTTTTGTCCCTTTTTTCCCCTTAGCTTTCTCTACCTTAATATTTTGTAGTAAATAGAATACTCCAAGGCTGTGTATCTACATTGGAGAATATAGTTATATGTGATTTCAAAATATTTTTTTTATGATTGAACACACCAAACTAACAACTGCATTAACATCTTTGCGTGTGCTGTATTCTATGGTAGTTACTGTTATGCAAACACTTACCTATTTTGTTCTTTAGAGGCAATGACTGCTTATAATAGCCATGAAGAGGGAAGATTAGTTTATCGTTTTGGAGGTGAACCTGTTGGCTCTTTTGTTCAGCCACGTTTGAGGCCTTTGATGCCAGCTATTGCTCATGCGCTGTTTATGGATATTACGCATGACAATGAATGTCCAATTCAGGTGAGCACCTAAACCGAAACCCAAAGTTTACTTTTAATGTTTTCTGAATTGATATTTATGAACCATGGGAGGGCTTGGTGCAATCTAGATGTTTTCTTGAATGTGATATTTGGGAAAAATGTGTTTCAGGTTTTCATGGAGAGAACAAAATTTTGTAACAACTCCCTCTGACGTTCAAGATTTTGTCTTTCAAGGGAAAAAGTGTATAAAGCTACTTAATGAGCTGTTTAGATTCTTTCATTCCAGCCACTTAAGGGTTCTGTCTCTGCTTGTTAACTTGTTCTCCTAAGCTTCTGTTTTACAAGAGAGAACAGTGGGAATTGGAGTGCTTATTTTTGCGGGTTTCTCTTAAGTTGCTTTTGTTAGTGCATGTGTAATTCTACTGTGATTGAGAAAATTGATCATGTGATTAACAATTCCTCTTGTTAAACTGAATATGCTGAATTGGGAGGGATGAATTATGTCTTAGATATGCAAATAGATTTGCTATTTATTGCCTATTTATTTTTTTTAATGTAGCACCGGTCTGCATATGATGCTCTTCCTAGTGCAATGATTGTTTCCATGGCATGCTGTGCTACAGGAAGCACCAAAGGCTATGATGAGCTGGTACCACATCAGGTATGTGTCTACAGTTTAACTCCAAAGTTACTTTTAAAAATGTAAAATCTATGTCTTAGGACAAGAATAAAGTTTAACTTTGTTTATTTAAAATTCCAAGCAGTTTACTAGCTGGCATTACTTCATATTGTCCAATTTCATATGCAACTTGAATTGATTATGTAGTTGAGACCTCTGACTGTTTTGTTGTTGCTTTGGTTTTGTGGTTTCTTTTGGTTTTTTTTCGAGAGTAGTTGAAATTTGCTTAAATCTTAATTTCTTTACAGATCTCTGTAGTATCTGAAGAGAGGTTTTATGCAAAATGGAATCCAGCAGCACAACTGACTTCTGGTGAAGTTAATTTCCAAACAGGAATTCTAGCAGGAAGGCTGGCGATAAACAGACTGCATCAGGAGCTGGGGGCTAAAGGCTTTAATCAGGCAAGAAATGAGAGTAACATTGCAATTACTCCATAGTTATGTTCTGAATGAGCACAGTTGAAATAGTATGTCTTTTCTAGGTGTATGTAGATCAAGTTGATGAAGATATAGTGGCAGTGACAAGACACTGTCCTAACACACACCAGTCGGTTGTGGCTGTAAGTCGAACTGCTTTCAGGGATCCTAAAACTTCCTTCTACAGTAAAGAAGTACCTGAAATGTGTATCCCAGGTAATCGGATTTCTTTTCAAGAGATGTCAGGTTTACAAAAATTTCAAAGTATTCTAGTGCTGTACTTTTTAACTTTAAACACATGAAATCAATACGAGAATTTTCAGTGTATAACACTCCTTTTATATATGCTAACATGCATGCACCAAAAGTGGATAAAGAAACAATAACAAACTTACCTTGCATAGGGTTTTCAAAGGCATTCATGTTGACTATATTTCATGCTATAAACTCTTGACGAGGGTGTGGTTTTATTTACTATCTTGTTTGTGACCTGGTAAGAAATAGTTAAGGGGAAGATTGTTAATTGTATGGAGGAGGTGGGGAGGGTACTATTTATTAAGTGTTATACTGGGGGAAAAAGGGCTAAAAACTTATCATATTTGTCAATGCCATTGCTATTCAGCTTACTTATATATGACTATTTTTGTGGTTTTAAAATACAAGAAACAACATTGTACTACATAAGTTAATATAAAGAAAATATATAGGTAATGCATACATAATAGTCATTAAACGTGCACAGTATTTACTGTACTTAATAGGAGCAAAGTATAACAAATTCTACACGTTACCAGGCCATATTTCTGGAGAGAAGCTTTCCAAACTGGCTTTTTAGGTATACTCAGTTCTTTGCGTGCATGTGTGTGCCTGTTTTAAAGTCAGTCACATTATATATTAAGACAAGTGGCTGCACGACTTGTATACCTTAGTCTGTCAGTTGCTGAAAGGATAGAGAAAATTAGAATATTTGAATATTTATATAAGTTGTTACACTTAAGATAAGCAATCTGTAGCTGCAGTTTGGAAACCAATGTAATATAGTCTCCTGAAAGATCATAAGGAAACTAACAGAGCAGGTGATCAGTAAAAGACAAGTTATAATTCACTAATTGTTGACTGATTTTTATGGTTAATTTATTACAAAAAAACCACCAAACTGCAGTTTTAAATACAATACAACCAGCGAATGTGTAATGGATGGTCATAGGATATTTAAATACTTCCCCATATGTTTTGTCACATCTGGTTGTTCTTTAGCTGTACAAGAGAGACTTGTATCTTGAATATTTAGGTTTTTAGTTTTAGGTTTTGCTTCATGTTTTCAAAAGAATCACTTTGAATTAAAAGTATTGTAACAACTACAACATGATTTAACTTTTCTTAGGAAAAATAGAAGAAGTAGTACTTGAGGCTAGAACTATTGAGAGAAGTGCTAGTCCTTACAAAAAAGATGAACACTTTATTAATGGATTGCCTAATTTCACAATGGAACTCAGAGAGCACATCCAGGTAACTAGCCTCCTTCACCCATGTTCTGATGTAATATTTTGTAATCTGTGATATTTCATATTAGGAAAAAGACACTGAATTTCAGTTGCAAATGTGTTTTCTTTTCTAAGATTAAAGACAGTAAAATTATAAAGCAAGCTGGAACTGCCATAAAAGGGCCAAATGAATTTGTTCAAGAAATAGAATTTGAAAAATTAACACCAGGAAGTGTAATAGTATTCAGGTACGTTATTATAATTGCCAAATGGCTGTATTAGTAAAAATAGAATGATAGGATTCTTTGTTTTGAGACTTGGGACTAGTTATTTTAAGTGCTACATTTCTACAAGTTGTGCATTCATGTTTACAGAGTTAGTCTTGACCCAAAGGCACAAGAGGCTGTTGGTGTACTCCGCAATCATTTGATCCAGTTCAGTCCACATTTTAAATCTGGAAGTCTTCCTGATGATCATTCAGCCCCTATATTAAACACGTTATTTTCTTCGTGAGTATTCTTTAAGTTTCTGACGTAGAACTGAGAGTGCTACAGTGGGAGCAAAGAACAGTCTGTATACTTAAAGTGAGGTTGTTTGGGTTTTTTTGTTACTACAGATGGATTTGGGTTGTCAGAATGCAATAAAAACTCTGAGATATTCTTTTTATATGTATAATCCTAAGCATGGTTAATACTTAAAAAACTTCCCGGGCTCTTTTGTTCACATTCTGTGCAATTGCTGCTTAAAGTAGACTTTAAGTAGACTTACTAACCTAGAGTGCTTGTCAGTGTTGGGGCATGATTGTTCAGGGTTTGTACTTAATACTGTATTTCTAAATAAATACTGACACATCTAAGCAGAACACCTTGGAACATTGGAAAAATCAGGCTCTTAATTTTCGAGATTTAAGTGGTGAGAGAGTTGTGTATATTTAATTATTTTAATGTAAGCCTAAAACTAGAATTGTTTATGAAATCCTTTTTCTATTTCCCTACTAACGTTGCTTTGGGTTTGGAAATTCTTTTTTCTCTACTGTTTTTTCAGTATTGCATCTAAACTAACTTTGGCTGACCTAAATCAAGTACTGTATAGGTGTGAGGCAGAAGAACAAGAAGATGGTGGAGGTTGTTACAATATACCAAACTGGTCACCGCTGAAGTATGCAGGCCTCCAAGGTAATAGTTTTAGCATTCTTTTTTCTGTCAAGAAAAAAAATTAAAATAGAGCTGCTCAATCTAGATCATACCTTAATGCTGTTGTATGGCTAGTGCTATTGTTTGGATAAAAACCAGGAAAGTTGCTTCTGCTTGACAGCGCTACTAATTAGTGTTGTACCCAGGAAATCGCATACTAAAACAAGAAGCCTCTGTTGATACTCTGGGCTGCAAAATTAAATTTCAGTATGTGGTTTAACACCAATGCCCTTGCTTTCAAAATAAAAAGAAAATGCATACACCTCCAGTGAAAAGTCACACGAATTAAAACCTAGGCATTACTAGATTACTGAGGAGTGTCAATCTCTTATCATATGTATAAATTCCATTGTGCTAGTTATTCCATAGTGTTTTTCATAAAGTTTAGGATACACTCGGGAAACTACAATTGAGTTGTATCGTAACTCGTTCTGCAAATCTAGAGAAGTACTACAGTTAAATCCAGTTAAAGTGTCTGTTGCTGTGTACCTTTTCCTCCTGAATTGTAATTGCTGTTTGTGATAATGGTGTGTCTTGTAATACAGTGTTGGGTTTATATCTTCAGGGTTAATGTCAGTGATGGCAGACATTAGACCAAAGAATGATTTGGGTCATCCATTTTGTGATAATTTAAGAGCTGGAGATTGGATGATTGATTATGTCAGTAATCGTCTGATTTCACGTGCAGGAGCCTGTGCAGAAGTAAGTAAAAATATTTATTTGGTGGCTTTGGGGTTTTAAATTACTAGTTTGTTTCCTTTTCAATTACGGGTTTATTTTCAAATTGTCTGTCTATAACATATTTCTTGTCTAGGGAATTTCTTCTAGGGGAATAAACTGTTAATATGTTTTTTCTTCCCTCTCCTCAATCTTATTTAAGAATGGACTGGAAAAGGGAAAAATATGTAGAGCATGAGGGGGTTGTTAGCCCTTTCTTCAAGGTCCTTCCCTGTTTGTTTATTACTTTTCCTTAAATAAAAATGAATCAACTTTTTTTTTTTTTTACGTAAGTGCTTACAAAAGAGAGCCTAAATACTACTGAGGCATATGTGATGATGACACAGTTATAGTAAGATTGCGCAGTTAAGCACTGAGAAGATAGCTATACAGGTAAAGAATCTCAGTAATTCCTGTACAACGATACAGTCCTTTTCTTTCTTTATCATATGTTTTCTTGCACAGCGATTGCTTTATTCGTGTCCCAAGATAAATACCTGATTTGGGTAACTTACATAATTAATACAGTAATAAAGACTTCAGCATTCTTATTTCATTTTGTTCCTGAAGTCAAGTGTAGTGATATAAAGCAGAATGGATAAAGCAGTCTGATGTCCTGAAATGAATGCTGAATCTGACCTCAGAGACAGAGCTTTTCTAGAAAGAAGTTAGTTTCATACTTGCCAGAATTACTGCTCTTCAAAAACTGTCGCTTATTTTTTTCTGTGAATTTTTTTTTGAGTTCTTAATTCGTAGTGTCTCTTTCTGTTTTGCAGAGAGTATAAAGTACCTGTACCTATTAGACTGAAGTCATATGAAACTAGATTTTACAATTTCACTGTTTACATAAGTAACTTTCCCTTCATAATTTCCAGGTTAAAAGTGTAGGGTGGTCATGTAATATGTTGACATGTACTTTCTTCATCTGCAAGACTTAAATCTTCAGTGACTTTCTAGTAGGTTATCATGTTCTTCTTCAGCAGTACTCAGAGCAAAGAATAGTAATACTTCCCAGGTGTCAAACACTTTGCAGTGACAGAAGCTCCAGAATCCTGAGCCCTAGACCCAAATCTGCAGTCATTTTCACTAGTAACCATACATAATTTAGCCTTCTGATAACTTTTCTATCCCTGCTCTCAAGCCTCACATCTTCAGACCTGTCTTTTTAAGCAGTGAGAAACATCCTTCCCACACTTGGGTTGTAGTGATACCTTTTGAGTTGCAGCTTTCCTTTGCTACTCAGTTTTAATAGCTTCTATATGATAATCTCTTTTTTCCCCAACAAGACTAGCAAAATATAATCTCTTTCTATAGTCTATGCTCTTGCCCATTTATGTCATAATACAGACACAGGACAGAGTTTTCCCTTCTGCTTTTCTTAGAGTTCTTCTCTCTGAGCGGAAATTTTGGAGCAGGAGGGTACAGCAATTCTACCACAAATATCTAGCATGCCCAATTTCTTAGACGTGAATGGTTGCAGGCTAGTGGTGTTATTAATAACTGAAGATAATCTCATCTTTGTGGCGGTCAAGCATAACTTGGGTGTAATAAATGTACAAAAACTGTGACAAATATTTTAGTGAGATGGATCCTGAAAGCACTGGGTTTTGACCCCTAGTGTTACCAAGTTCTAATTGTATTGTATTGTATTTTAATAGGTTGGTAAATGGTTGAAGGCCATGTTTGTCTACCTAAAGAGAATTCCACGTTACCTCCTCCCATGTTACTTTGATGCCATATTAGTGGGTGCATACACAACGCTTCTGGATGTGGCATGGCATCAGATGTCTAGGTACGCTTGGCATATCAGAACTATAGAGGTATCTGTATATATTTTCACCCTTTAAGTTTTATTTGCTGGAGAATGTAATTGGAGTGTTTTCATACTCATCCAATGTGGAATGGTAAAATTAGTAGTAAGTATCAAATCCATCTTCTAACAATGGTGGTTTAAAAGGCTGAGAGTTCAGATGTCTATCCAGTGTTTGAATTTATAACTACTGTTGGCATTGTGCAGTAGGAAGAGGAAATCTTAAGCCAGCATTTCTTTCCCAGGCTTCAGAAACTCTTTGTGCTATAATTTTAGTACAACTGCAATGATTCTGTAAAGTTCAGGGAAAAAAGAAAATACCAGATTGTACTTGATGCTGATGCTTTGTTCAACATTTCTTCTCTAACACAGCTGAATATCCTTCATTATCTGAGCACTGCTTAGTTCTTGAACTAACTTTAATCTTCAGTGTCTGCTTCTCCTTTGTTTTTTGGAAAGGGGAGGTTGGTTTTATGGAGGCTTTATTCTAGCTATGAACATTCTGAACATACCAGTGCTGTTTTGTAAAAATACAGATGTTAAAATGGGCATAGAATTTGGTATGGTTGTGAAATCATGTGGAAAGTAGTATCTTTTATGAAAATGCTTGGAGATAAACTAGTCAGGAATGCAAGTTGCATTATTTTAGACAATGTGTTAATTGATTTATTGATTTACAGTTTTTTAATATTTGAATATATATAAGAATGTGGTGATCTTTGAAAATACTGATTAGGTTTGCAAACTTTTGTTTGTAGTGAAATATGTTTTATCATATTTTTGAGGCCTGTACGCAGACATCAAGTAAACAAAACCCATTTCCTTTTTTTTTTTTTTAACCCTTTTCCCTAGAAGCATTTGACAAACATTCACATTGACATTAATAAATTAAAGTTTAAGGCTAACTTTGGGCACTCATTGGGGGGGGGTGTGATTTACAAATTAAAGCTTATGTACAAAATTAGTCAATGCAAAATACTAACATTAACACACTGTTAGGTTATTATATTATGTGTCATTATCTTCTGTAAATGAAAAAGGGTACATTTTATAGACTGATATTGCTAAATGCAAAGTTATTTTAATTGAATTATGTTGAATTACAGCTTTGTGCAGAACGGATCAACGTTTGTTAAACACCTTTCCTTGGGTTCAGTCCAGATGTGTGGGATAGGAAAATATTCTTGTCTGCCAGATCTGTCTCCTTCCTTACATGATGTTCCCTACAGGCTGAATGAGATTACGAATGAGAAAGAACAGTGTTGTGTTTCTTTGGCAGCTGGTAAGTGAGGACAATACTTAAGAGAGAAAAAAAAAAAAGTCTTCCAAAACAGTTAAACTGGTTTTGGTAACTATATTAAAAATTGTCTCCATTATGCTTGAGATCCATATGTCAGGAACCATATACAAAATGCAGGTAGGAGTTTTCCTCACTTTTTCCTGTGTTTCAATTTGTGTTTAAGATAAACATTTGCCCAAATTAAAAATATGGGAGTTCTGTCTAGCATATGTCTTGGGGACAACTATTTTGTTACTGCTTTTGCAGGGTGCTGAGCTTATAAAAATTTTTAGCTATATCCACTTTTATCATATATGTTGTCTTTTTTCCCAGAAGATTTGCTTGAGATAAACTAAAACTTACTATGCTAAGTATATTTATCTTTTTTAGACATGAATTTAAGAACTGAATTGTAATGGAGTACAAGGGTGAATTTATTGTTTACAAGTTCTCAGAAAAAGAAAGCCATTAGCAGACCAGAAGAACACCTGATCTGAAACTGTCTCCAAAACGAAGGAGCATAAAAGCACTCAGCAAATAGTGTTTATACCCCTGAATGTTCTGCCAGCATCTGGCAGTCTTTGAATTGGGCACTTTCCTATGTCAAAAGTATTATCTTCTGTGTTCAGTGGCTTAGAATGAATCTATTTTTGTTCTGACTTGGCCAATGTCTCTTCTGAAACCATAGAAACTTTTAACATCCACAGATTCTATGGCATCTGTCTCACTGGGGTATTTATTTTCTTCTTTTTTGCTGTCTGTCTTTCTCTCATGGAATTTTATTGCCTTTAGTTTCTGGTTTTTAGTAACATTCTATTTGCCTGCTTTAGTGTTACCTAGAAGCACAGAGGCACAATGTTCCCCTAAACTGGTCATAAAGATTAATTATACTAAAGGGTTTGGTTTTAAATATTCCCTTCACATATTCACTCGTAGTTGTGTCTGTGAGATTTTTAACTCCTACATGTGCTGTCATTCTCAAGTGCTTTTGGCATATACTATAAAATTAACAAATACTTTGGAAAAGAAAGTAATAGAAGTTAAAATGTTCTATTAAGCATGCACAACAGACTGCTGTTTTGAAACTTTACCATATGGAATTTTTTGTTTGTTAGATTGAAAAGTTTAATAAATGGAATAAAAGACAAGGATGGACCTTACTGTTGTAATTATGCTTTATCAGTCAGAATCATTCTTGAAGTTACATGTTATAATGTCTGCAGTAAGATGTAGTTCTAGAAGCTGCTGGAAAAGAGAAGCAGGAATCCTTTTATAGTGACTGAGAAGAACTTTGAGCTGAAGAAATTCATAGCTCTCCAGTCTTGTTCCTTTTATGCTACTGAGATGACACAGTTTCATACAAAAACTCTTGTCAACAAAGTGCTATAAATCTTGTCATAGTTCTGGCTTTTTGTTTGTTAGTTTTCTTGGTTTTGGTTTTGTGTTGTGTTTTTTTTTTTTTTAATTAAAGGATGGTACTTGGTTAAGTTACAAAGTGACTTAATAAACATTTAAATGTGACTGTTATTGATATTAGCAATTCTGTTGTATGATCTTGAAATTCTAGGAGGACAATTGGTCTAAAAAGATGTTTTATTTCATTTTATCAAGAACCTGGTCTAGAAAGTTGTTTACTTTAGATATCTTAACCTAGGAAAAAAATTAAAAATGTGAATATGTTTTTACTTGTGGTTATTTTATGCATACATGTGTGCTTGGAGATCTCTGCCGTATCAATAAATGACATGAACATTGATGTTTCTTTTTAGGTTTACCTCACTTTTCTTCTGGAATTTTTCGCTCTTGGGGAAGGGATACCTTTATTGCACTGAGAGGTTTAATGTTAGTTACTGGGCGCTATCTAGAGGCAAGGTAAGACTGACTTATTCTTAGTTCTTACTGGTTTTGCAGGTAGTTAGGAAAAAGGCACATTCTCAAAACCTGAGATGACATGCAAGCTGTTAGAAACAGTTGATGTACAGTGTAAAACTGTAATGGCCCTAGACAGATTTAGGATTTCTCTCTAAGTAGAATTAAAAATACTTCTTAAAAGAGTCTCTTGCTTTCTTAGCACCAATATGAAGTTGATGTTCTCTATAGATAAAGTATTTTTAACCCTTGTAACACTACTGCTCATCCTTAAACAAAGTGATTGTGTTTCACATGTACTTGCATCATTGGTGCTGAGCAATAATTTCAAAATTACTTACATAAAATTTTGAAGTAGCAAGAGAATACTATTTTAATCGGAAAGGTATGATTGCACGTCTATGGTGATTATTTTTTTTATAACTGCTAGTATTTGTCTGTTAATAGTAAAAATCAGCTGATTCAGTGGATTCATACAATCGGATACCTGTTTGTAAATGTTTAACCTGACAAATGAGCCAGATATAAGATAGATCTATTAATTAGATATTTCCATTAATCTTTTAATTTGGGTGAAGCTTGCCACATGATACAAACATAAAAATTATTTTTTTTTAATTTATCATGTGTTTATGCTGTTGTACATTTGGCCAACTACTACCTTTCTCAGGCAGTAAGATCTGCAGTCTACTAGTATGTTTATATTCCCATTTAAAGCTAGTTGGAATCCATGTTTTCTGCAAGGTATGCGCAACAGTTCTCAAATGAAACTTCTCATAACCTCAGTTGCTGTCACCTCTCTGTATTTTAATAGGAATTTCCCATCTACTCCTGTACTCCGTCCCCATTCCACCCCACCCATCAGAATGGATACCAGGGTAATCATAAACAATGTCAATAAAAACCTTCCTTGTGACCTCAGTGGGACTTGGATTTAGGTTCTATATCACTAGCTGTAAAAAAGCAAAGTAGCTTTTCCATATTAGCAGATGTTGTATGTCTTGTACAAAGTGATTTAAATGTATTCATGTTGGGGAATTTGTAGGGAATAGATGACTTTTTATTGTAAAAGAAGTTCATGCTAAATTAAGTAGTTTGTAGTTTTCAACAGCAAACTTTTGGCATCTGTCTTTAAGATCCTGTTTGTCCCCTTGACTTACCTTGCTATTAAGGTAAACTCATATGCTTTTTACTTAATACTTGGTCCAATAACGGCCTTGAAAGTAACTTAGTCAAGACTGTGGTTTTCTTTTGTTCTAGAAACATCATTTTAGCATTTGGTGGGACTTTAAGACATGGTCTCATCCCCAATCTGCTTGGCCAGGGAACACATGCCAGATACAACTGTCGTGATGCTGTATGGTGGTGGCTTCAGTGTATCCAGGACTACTGTAAAATTGTTCCAAATGGATTAGACATTCTTAGGTGTCCTGTTTCTAGGATGTACCCAAGAGATGACTCTTCTCCTCAGCCTGCAGGCACTATGGTAAAGATCACTTCTGATTTAAGTATCTAACATAACTATAATTTTTTAATGAAAGGATGTAATTTTTCTAGCTACAAGAACGTGTTGCTATCTGTTGTTTACAGTGGAATTTGATTATAGTGCCAGAATTCCAAATTTATGCACTTCTCAGTACATCTGCATCACATCATTAGACAGGTGCAGGGGGTTGGGGACGGAGGAAGAAAAAAACCATCTGCTTTACTAATAGGTTTTTTTCTTTGCTTTTTGTCCTGAAAAAATGTTTATATTAAAAATTGTCTACAATGTGTTGCCAGTGACAAAGATGCTACTGAAAAGGTTAGATGCTTTTCTTTTGAGGTATCATAAACCAGAGGCTAAGAACTGCTACTATTTGCACATTAGAGCCTTTCTACTCATTTTTCATCTTGCCTTTCACATGTCATCCAAACATGCAATCAATCTAGGATCAGCCGCTTTATGAAGTAATACAGGAAGCAATGCAACGACACATGGAAGGCATAAATTTCCGAGAAAGGAATGCTGGTCCGCAGATAGATCAAAACATGAGAGATGAAGGTAACATATAGAACATTTACTAAGCAATTCAGAAGATGATGTTTATATTTCATACTACTTTTTCTCTAGCTATTGAGTATGTTTTTTAAAATAATATAGTTTTATTTGCATTAAACATAACTAATTTTTAAATACCTTCAATGTTTAAGAAGTGCCTAATTAGTTGTTTGGTTTTAGCAACTGTTTACATGTTGTGGTACAAGTTATATTTAAATAAAAGTTCATGTAAAACATACAGTAGCCTTCAAAAACCCACCTCAGATCTCGTTTGGAGTTTTTTGGTTTATTTAGGAGGCTTGCATTGAGGGGGGAATGCAGTTGGGGTTTGGTTTTATTTAAAATATAGACTTCACGTGATATTTTTGCTTGGCAGGTTTTAATGTAACTGCAGGTGTTGACCGTGAAACTGGCTTTGTCTTTGGAGGGAACCGCTTCAATTGTGGCACTTGGATGGATAAAATGGGAGAGAGTGATAAAGCTCGCAACAGAGGAATTCCAGCTACTCCAAGGTACAAAATCCAGGCTTTTGAGGGGAATTTATTTTTTTTTTTAACTGAAATTTTTCTGCAGACCTACTATGCCGTCCATTAATACATCTGAGAAGTGATCTTTCAAATGTTCTAAATGTTTCTGCCTACTAAAATGTTAATGGTAATTTTTTTCTTTGTGGTCATTTGAAGAAAAAAAAGGTGTGTTTTAGCAGGTGAACCCCTCAGCTTCTGGCATGGTCTATGGCTACGTGCCACCAAATTGCTGCAGGCATTCTTGCTTGAGTTTAGCGCAGCATCAGTTTCAAATCAATTACTCTCTGTGGGTCAGAACTGGAGCAAAACATGGTCTTGCTTGACAAGTCAGGCATTTTAATTGGGAACCAAGAGAGGTTGAAGTACCTGCCCTAAAGAGGCTAAATTGGTGATGCTGAAGAAAAATTGTCCATCAAGCAGGCAGTAAAACTCAATATGGTATATCTGAATATCACCTGAAAAAAGAATCGAGTCCAAAAAGTGCATTTAGTTCTTATTTTAACACTTCACTTCTGACTCGAGTAATCTGTTACGGCAGAAATATTACCTAAGTTACCAAAGTGCATGTGCAGATGAGAACCTCTGTATGAACACAGGGGATCAAGTTCTGTGGGGCTGATCCTTTGTTCATGTTCCTAATCACTGGTATAGAGTTATCTTAAATCCATGCAAATTAGACGGGTATGATAATACCACTTTAAATTTAGTCTATTGTACAGAAAAATAGTATCCATTAGCCAGTTCACAGTCAAGCTCATTCCCCGACTGTTAGCTGATCGAAAACCTCATGTGTTTTCCACCCTTTCCTTCCTTGATTCTTCATCAGGTGGAATCCTACTGATCTAAATAAAAGTTAATTGATGCAGTCTGCTTATGCTAGTGTTCTCTTCTCTTATTCTTGGCCCTCATGAAACTCAAAAGTACCCTGTAAAACTGAGCGTGCCTAAAAGTGTAAGGTAAGCTTCAGCGTAGATAAAGCTAAGACATGCATCTAGTCTAAACCGTGTCTACACAATGCTATCAGAACTGAGCTACAACAGAGGAAGGAAATCTGAGTCGCTGGTAGCTTTCTGAAGTTATATCTTAACATACAGCAGCAGTCAAAAAAGCTAATAAAAAATACTAATGCTGGGTATCATCAGTAAAGGTTTTTAGAACAAGACAGAGGGCATCGTTCTGCCTCTTTGTGAAACCTTGGACCCGCAAGATACACTTGTATCTTGAGTGTTAAGTGTAGTGCTGGTCTCAAGAAGGACATAATAAAGAGTGGTACAGAGAAGGGCAGCTAAAACTCAAAGGGATGGAGTAGCTGCCTTATAAGGAAAGACTGGAATGTCTAAGGACTTTTTGTTTTCAAGAGAATATGGGGGTGAGAGGTATGACTGAAGTTTAGAAAATCATGACAGCAGTGATTAGGATGGAGCTATTATTCACAAAACACTGCAATGCTGTAGAAGTTCGGGATGCTCCTACAGAAGAAATAAGGGAATAGTAGGAGAACAGGGAAAAATAAAGTGTCTAAATAAGATACTTACAGATTATTTTTTTTCAGTTACTTATTGAATTTAAATAGCCTTCTTAAAGTAAGCTTTTAAAATTATTATTGTTTCAGAGATGGCTCTGCTGTGGAAATTGTTGGCCTCTGCAAGTCAGCTGTTCGCTGGTTGCTGGATTTATCTGGGAAAAATGTGTTTCCATTCCGTGGAGTCACTGTAAAAAGACATGGTAAAAATAGACATATCTCATAATTGTATTACTGGAGTATAAAAATAACTAAAATTATGAAAAGGTAGCAATATAACATCAGGGATGATTATCAAACTATTGAAGAAGGTTTAGGGGGAAAAAGGAGAAAAGCTTGGGAAAGTATCTTGTATGATTAAAATCCTTTGTTACTACAAAAATTTTATTAAAAGTTGATGTTGTCTTGTCAATATTTCAAATATTTTTCTTCCATGTATCTTTCATCCTCCCTTCCCCCTTCCTCTCCCCCCCTCATACTGTTTACTCCTAGCTAATTGCAGGTTAGAAAATTTTGTGGTTTCAAAAAAAAAAAAAAAAAAGTTGTGCATGTGTTGGAGTTGATCTGCAGTATAATTCAACTTCTAAATAATAATTTTTTGCAATGCTATTATGGCCTTTATTGTGTTAGGAGTATCTTAAATAAAACTTCAATTAGCAAAACAGTAAAAATAGACATAAGCATACTTCTGGTGTTACCACTGTGGCTGTTCTCAGAAAATAAAACCTGTATGTAACATCTTGCAGGAAAGGAGGAGACTATCACATATGATGAGTGGAACAGAAAAATTCAAGGACACTTTGAAAGGCTGTTCTTTGTCTCTGAGAACCCAGCAGATCCTAATGAGAAACATCCAAATCTCGTTCACAAACGTGGAATTTATAAGGACAGCTATGGAGCTTCAAGTCCATGGTGCGATTACCAACTCAGGCCAAATTTTACAATAGCAATGGTTGTGGTAAGTGGGGGCAACGGAGGGGGAGCGCTTGCACTTAAAATTTTCTTTATTATTGAACTAAGTTTGCATTGTAAGGTTCATCCACATGGCATTACATCAGGAACATACAATGCTCAGAATAACTTTCTGAAAGCTTTTCTATGCTTTTCATATTGGTCCATCTTGGAGCATCTCCTAAAAATACATCCTTGAGGGGACTTAACTAAATGAAACTGCTGTTCACTGTAGAGCTAGGATAAATTTGCAGTGTTCACTGCATTCAGAATGTCTTTTAAGGTTAGGTCTGGGAGGGTGCTTTTCCTGTCAAATTAGCTAAAATGCATGGGTTGTTTGTTGTCTTTACCAGGTTTGTAAAGAGCTTCAGCAATACTTGACAAGTGTATTTCAAATAAAATAAAAATTGAAAAAAAATCACTGGATAGCTTCTGTCCTCTTGCTTACTCTGACTCGTAGGTTCCAGAAGTTGATTCAGTAATAAAAAACTTAGGCTTTTCGTGGTCTTATACATTTGTATACACAGTGTTATATGTGTACATGTGCAGGCAGCGTTTACTTATTATTTCTTTATTGTTTTGTTAGGCCCCTGAGTTGTTCACACCTGAGAGAGCTTGGAAGGCTCTGCAGATAGCAGAGGAAAAACTGCTTGGTCCATTAGGCATGAAAACCTTAGACCCAGAGTAAGTATAACAGAGATCAGAATAAGTGTTAATGACAAAACATGACAGTAGGAATTATTTGACACATGGGGGTAGTGTTTCTTTTGTTAAAAACCTCATATGTACCTGTGTAATAAGACTACAATAAATACTTCCAGAGCAATTATTTTGCTGTTCTAACAATCCATGCAATTGATTTTATGTAGACAATCACCAGGTGTTTTTGAATGCCACACAGTAAACAAGTAAAATTTAGTATCGTCAAAGATGTTGAATTTGCATCTAGATACGTAGTTGTATATGACACAGTGCACAGCGCTACAATTTGAATAAAAGCATAAGGGCAAAATTATGAATTCAAGTCATTCCAAGACTTTAACCATTTTCCTACTAGTTTGAACTGTATTTGGAATTCTGTTGTCATGTAAAATACAGAACCTGGTGGAGACCTCCCTAGCTTAACCATTGTTAAATGTAAATGCCATAAAAAATTTTTGGCTCCTTTCTGCTTTCCAATTTTATGTATAATTTTTGTTAAGGCTTTTTTTGCATAATTTATCTTTTTCTTTCTTGCAGTGATATGGTTTACTGTGGAGTATATGATAACGCTCTTGACAATGACAACTATAATGTAGCCAAAGGTTTTAATTATCACCAAGGACCTGTAAGAGCCCGTTTCTTCAATTTTAGAAAAAGTGCTGTCACCTTTTCAAACTGATAGCTATAATAATAATCTCTTTTCATTCTTTGCTTAGGAATGGCTGTGGCCAATTGGGTATTTTCTTCGTGCCAAATTGTACTTCTCAAAGTTGATTGGTCCAGAGATATATGCAAAAACTGTAGTTATGATTAAGAATGTTCTTTCTCGCCACTATGTTCACCTTGAAAGGTACGACACCAGCTAACACAGATGTAAAATATTCATTCAAGCTAGTGGTATCCACTATCCAATTACATGTAAAAGTACAGATCTATAACATAAACAGCATCTGTTTTCTACATATAAAGTTCACCGCTATATATGCTATTGCAGAGTTCAGGTCAAGTTTCAAGTACAGCTGAGATCTAATGCTTTTTATAGATTGCAGAATTACTAATGCTTACCCATGTGAAGACTGGGTGAAATAAATCTTACTTAAAAATTGGGATCTAGTTTCAAACAAAAAATTAATTTCAGAAAAAAATGTTGGTGAGCTGTTTTTTAAAAAATCAAAATACTTCAACCTGCAAAAAAGAATAGTTAAAGGACTAGTAGTGATAGATTAAAATTGCGGCAGATAAGATGATGCAAAATGTTGTTAGGATTTCTTGTGTTATAAACAAGGAAATTAGTATGACAGTGTTTCAGAATCTTAATAAGCTTGATATTCTAAGAAAGCAGTGGAACTTGCTTATAGCCCTTAGAAGTTGCTTTGCATTTTGAGTTCTTCTTAAAAACCAAACCACTAAACCCACTCTATTTTTCCCCTTTTTCTGTCTGTTATATTTTTCATTCTTAAGGGTTTGAGACAAATGAAAACAAACAATCAAAACAAAGATCTTGTTGGTGATATATCTTCCATATAATCTGTTCTGCTGTACTTCAAATGTGCATTTGTTTGTACCCATAAGAGTAATTCAGTAGGACTAGTCATGACAGAAGGGTTTGTCTGACCACACGAGGGAGCAAAGGGATTTGTTAAGTAACTTTTTGCCTTAGATAGCATCTTGTCCCAGTGTCTTGTTTGGTAGTAATACCAAATAATTTGCAGTTTGGTAACATTCTTTGTTTTTTCTGTTTTACTACTTAACTAGTGTATTTTTACAGTGTTTTGGTATTTCATTTGTGTACAGAATTATTAATGTAGCAACAGGCTTAACTTAAAAGTATTTTTGCAAGTACATTAGTTTCTGGGGGGGTTCTTTCCTGTGGAGGAAAAAAGGGCTTATGTAGCCATGCTATCTTCTAGCCGTTACCACTTTTTAGTACCGTAATCCAGTTTCAAGTGTAGTTTGAATACCATTCAGTTATCTCAAAGTTCATTCGTATTCTTCCAACTGCAAAACTACCTGAGTGAGAAGTAGGATCAACAGGAGCCAGTAGTGTAAGTTGAGATATTCTTAGTAGCACAGAATCTATTTTGAAGAGGCACCCCCCAAAAAAACCTAAAATTCCTAGTTGCAGGAGAAAAAAAAAAAGTTGAGTTAGCTCTCAGTTATTAAAGAATATACTGTGCCTGTAGGACAAGAGAACTTTGTAATGGTTTTCAGTTTCCTACTGAGATAATCTTCTAAAAGGTTTTAAAATGAAATGTTCTTTTCATTTCAATGTATAATCTAACAACAATATTCATTTGTTCTTTATTTTATCAGATCATCCTGGAAAGGGCTTCCAGAATTGACCAATGAAAATGGACAATATTGCCCTTTTAGCTGTGAAACTCAGGCCTGGTCGATTGGTGTTGTCCTTGAAATCCTTTATGACTTGTAAAAGTTTATTTTGATTGATTTGATGAAACTTCTGTGGTCTTATTATTGGGCATAAATGAACACTTGGCATATACTGCAAGGGAAATGACCTGTTCTGCACAATCACTTAAGCCATGTCCTGACTTTCAAAGATGCTGAATGCCAGCAGCTTCTGTGCCCTATAACTGTGTGGGGCTTGGGTTGTTTTTTTTGAAAATCAGGCCATGACAATAAAATAAAACTGCAGTGCACACTTGATGCAGCAAGTTTTAGTAAGGAGCAATTTTAAGAATATGCACAAACTTAATTTTAAGTAGCTCAGTTTTTTTAGACTTTTCAAATCAAAATCTTAATGTAACAAAATGAGGTGGCTCTTTCCTGAGCTAAAAATAAGTAGCACAGCTCTCATGTTTTTGTTTTTGTGGGTTGTTTTTTTTTTCCTTTGTCTCTTCAAAAGTAAATGGATGTTTTTGCAAATGCATGCTTAAAGGGGAGTAAACTAACTTACAGCTTTCTGAGTTTGGTATGCTTTGTGCTGTAGCACCATACATTAATGAAGGCATAATATGTTGTCTCTCTGAACTGTATTATGGGGAGGGTTGGGGTTTTTTTGTATGTGTTCAGTTGAACACTCCATTAAGCAACCACAGAAATAAAGTTTATGAATACTGTAATAAACCAACCTTTGAAATTATATATAAAATTTTCAAAAACTTTAAACTACTTTAGTTAACTTGAGCAATAATGAGGTAATATCCTATGCTAATCCATTTTAAAATTTATTTAAATACAGTGGGCCATGCAAGAAACCTATTTCTTCATTTAAATCTGTTTTTCACCATGAGGAATTCATGAGAAACATATGCATGTGCATACAGTGCACAGCCTATATGTTAGGGGAAGCCAAAGATACAGAAGTCATTGTGCTTGACTGCTTAATTAACTTATTGAAGAGGTATGGTCGCCTGAGTCCTTTATTCTTAGGAAAATCCTAGCTCTGTTGAAGCAGATGGAAACACTTAACATCGGTGAGAAGAGATATTAGCCTACACCCAGAGAAGAGGAGGGTTTTAGGCCTTTTGAAATTATAAGAAATAAAATAATAAGAAATTATAAGAATAAGCACACTACCTCTATGTGCTGTTCTTTGGGAACAGCATCCAGTGAACATGATGCAAAACACGTATGTTCTTTCGTATTTGAATACCTGCGTGCCCTTATTGAGTTCAGTTCAGTGTTCCCAAACTGAAGGGTGGTTCACAGAAGTGAAGTTGGTAATTCTCAACTCTCTATTCATGTGATTTTTCCGTCTTTGTGCAATGAAGAGGCAGAGAGTGAGGCTGACAACGCTTCCCACATGACTGGGGGGAAGCAAAACTGATGTTGCATTTCCAGTGTTAGACAACATACGCTGAAAAAAAATATACACAGGATGTAATTATAATGCACTAATAACACATAGGTCAATATTTCATTTTATCTGTATTTTAAAGTTTCTGTATCCTGTCTAAAGTACAGTGCAAGTGTGCTGTCTTGTTCAGGGATATGTGTTACAGATAGATACATTTAAGAGCAAGTTAGTAGGCTGAAGATAGACGAATTATAAGAAGCGGCTATGTTCATGCTATTTTTTTAAATGGTTAATAAGTATTTGAACTCCCTTGCTGAAGAGTTCACTACTTAGAAGTTACAATTAAGGAAGGTCTATATTGTATCTCAATTTTTGAGCTGCTGCAGTATGTGGGTTGGGAAATTTTTATTTTCTGGACACAATGCACGAGAGATGTCATTTAATCAAAAATGTTACTGAAATGTCAGCTGCGGATTTTAATTTTTTTTTTCTGTTGTGCAAGAGGCATATACAGTATTTTTCATAATGTATAGAACTCTCCAAAATTCTTGGTAATGATATTGAAGTTTATGTCCTACTGTATCACTAGCTTGTTACTGTTTTCCTAGGTAATCATTTCTTGTTTACTATTTCAAGGTATGTTTTATAGCTCCTATGAAACCATAGGAACAGGAACAGTATGGCAGGATAAATTGTTCATACTTAATGAAAATGTTGTAAAATTGGAAGAGCTATTACTGTTGAAAAAGACTTCCACGGGGTGTCAAATTATATACATTGGCAATAACACTTTCAGTGTTGGGGGAAAAAGAAAAAAAGGAGAATTTATTCATCAAAGCCTTCCTATGTTATTATAGATGACTTTCCACTATTTTGCAAACTGCATTGCTGATAGAGACTGCATATTTTGTCACTGCTAGGGTTTTTTTTCTAATTTAATAGTAAAATTTTAAAGATAAGTCACCACTGTGTACACAAAAATACATATGTTATGGAACTTCTAAACATGCCCATTTATAATGTTGCTTCTTCACTGATTAGTTGTGCATAGTTTTAGTGACAAATGTTTTAAATAGGAAAAAAATATGTATCATGCTGGTTGACTTTGCTGTTAAGTAGCAACAAAAGTAAGATTTGAGGTTATAACTGGGTGGGTTATTGGTTTGGGGTGGGGGGGTTGTTTGGTTTTTTGTTTTTTTGTTGGTTTTTTTTTCAATCGCAAAGCTACTCAACACTTTGTCAAGCCAGACAGTTTAAAAATGAAGAGGGAAGAGAACAACGTTAAATCTAACACTTACATGAGCTGGTATTCATCTAGATAAACTCTTTACCTAAATCATTATCCCCTAAAAATAGCTGACATGTTGACTGATGCTGAACTGTATTTTTATTCATCAGTATCATTTATGTTATCCACTCACTAACTTCTAGTAATGCAAAGTTATATCAGTAAAATCTTTAAGAAAGAAACTAAAGAACTTAGTAATGTGAATCCATTGTGTTCCAGTTGGTGTTTCTTGATCTATATGGTATTGAGACATCTTTTTTTATTTGCTTCCTCCCAATGGAAATAAATTTGACTGTTACCAGTGTTTGTACAGTTAATAGCTCTTGATTTATTCGAAGATTATTAACTTGAGAATTCAAGTAAAATAATGTATCATTCTGGCACTGCATGTTGTAATGTAAAATGGAAAGATGAGTTTTACATGTGTCTGTCTAGCACAGCAACAACTGATTTTAGAAAATGTCATTATTCATTTATTTCTGAAATGCACAAAATAAAATTCTTTAATTCAGACAGAGTTAACCTTCTCATGTGGTTGTTTTGGAAGAAAGCCAGACATTAGAGATGATGCTCTTCGTTCAGTTGTCAATATTACACACATCGGAGAGATAGTGAACTCCTCAGGTCAAATATTAATAACAAAAACTGCTGACAACAACAATCAACTCATTAAAGAAACCACATAAGAATCTTTGTATAGGGCTCAAGTTTATGTTTGTGTCAATTTTGGGTGTCTCAGCTGGGTTTGTGTGGGACTGGGCTAGAAGAGCTCTGGATGACCCTGCTGCTATAAATTACTGTATCATTTTAAGTCATGATGTTGAAAATTCCCCAAGAGAACAGTCTGTGGTATACTGATTAACAGCTGCCCAAGTGATACACAGTTATTAGTTAACTTTTTGTGCAAAATTTCTATCACTGAAGAGAAGGGATTTCACTTTCCAGCTCTGCTTTGTAAAACCGGTGTCTCGCAGCACAGGTGACTCTGATGGATAGAATGTGTTTTGCAACAACCCCATTTCATTGCATGCTTTATAAAATTAGGATTTATCTAATCCTCTACTCAAGCATTTCTTTAAAAACAGGATTCCTATTATTCTATTGTACAATACTTTCAACTTAATAGCCTATTGAAAAATTGTGAAGGAAATGCAGAAACTCTGAAACCTCACAGCAGCTCAAGCAGCTAAATCGAGGAATAAATCAATGAGGTGTTAGTGGTGACCGGGCAGGTTTCTGCTGAAAGCACCTTTTGAGATTGCAGATAGCAATATGGGAAACACCTTTAGTCAGGAAATGTGAGATTGGACCGTCTTAAGGTGTTAATTGTAGGCCACCCTAGAAACAGCTCATCTCGTCACCTGAGAAAGGCCTTCCCTCTCCAGGTGCCGGCTGCCTGGGGCCTGAGGGGCCGAGCAGGCCTCGGGGGCTCTCCCGGGGCTGCGGCCTTCGCGCAGGGCTGCGCCTCAGCGCCCGGCGGCGGGAAAGGTGAGGGGCCGGTGAGGGAGGAAACGGCCCTGCTGAGGGGATCGGAGCGCGGGTGGGCTCTCCTGCGGCGGGGGCGCCGAGGGCCCGGGGGCAGGGCCGATTCTTCTGAAGCGGGACGGGCGGGGGTTAGCGCCGTCACTGTGCTGTTGAGCAGGAAAACAGGTGAGGCTGGCCACGATTGACAGAAAACTTGTTTGTTTTTCTAAAATGTGCCTGTAAACAGTAAGAAGGAAAATGGATTTGCCTATTGGTATTTGGTTTGTTATGCAAACTTCGGAGCTTATACACCTGATGCTTTAATCAGGGAAAGCTCAACCCTGAGAGTTACTCACAGCCTGTGTGGTATTTCACATAAGGGGCTTATCAAATTAAAGCAGAGGCTTCCTAGTTCTGAGTGTTGTGTGGAAGTGCAGCTGTCCAGCTGGAGCAATGCCCATTTAAAATGGGGCTAGACTCTTTTCAGTGGTGCCCAGTGACAGGACAAGGGGCCACGGGCACAAGCTGGAACACAGGAAATTCCATCTCAACATGAGGAAAAACTTCTTTACTTTGAGGGTGACAGAGCCCTGGAACAGGCTGCCCAGAGAGGCTGTGGGGTCTCCTTCTCTGGAGATACTCGAAACCCACCTGGACGTGATCCTGTCCAGCCTGCTCCAGTTGAACCTGCTTTGGTGGGGGGGTGTCCTTTCTAACCCCGACCAGTCTGTGATTCTGTGAATGTTGATTTCGGAGCACGAGCAGCATGTACAATGCTGAACAAGGTGCAACTTCTTTGTTACTTGTTTTAGTAATCACAATTTCTCACAGGGTCAAACTCCAAAGCAGAATTAGCATGCAAACTTGCCAGCATTTGTAGTGGTAGGAAAATGAACCTGAGAGCAATGTAGAAAGAAAACCGTGTTCCTGGTGACCAGTCAGCTGCTACTCTTAGCCATCAATGCTGTTGCAGTATCTTGAGTTTCTGTAGGCACTTGCACAGTCCTGTTGCTGGTGATGCATTTGTCTCATTGTGTAATGCCTCCTTGGATCTGCTTCTTTCAGAAATCTTTATGTCTTTGTGTTATGTCTGTGC